TTCCCCCCCCCACCCCCCAGAAAAAAAAAAAAACAAACAAACCATACACACACACACACACACACACACACAAAAACTTCGACATCCAAAAGCTACTGGAGTACTTAAGAGCTGAAATCTCATATGACCCCTATATTCTAAGATGTATTGCAATTGGAAATGAGTAGTCCTGAGAACACCTCACCACATCTTTTTAACTCTTGATTGCAAAACCAAGCCAGTTATGCACTTATAAAGTATTCTCCTTAATAGATATCTGAAATGCTCTGTTATCAGTTACATTTTTTCCCCTTTTTTTCATAGATACTTGTTATTTTATCTATATTGAACTGGAAATGCTGTCAGTTAGCACGGATATCTCTCAGGACTGTTTTTAAGCTGCTCTCAATTCTCGGTTGTAGTTTCTGTTTTGTTTTTTTGTTGTTGTTTTTTTTTTCCTACATATTTCCAGACAGTTTTGCATCAACTACTTCTAGTTTTTGGTCCATTTGAAATGTTGCAGGAAGTTGAGTTGCATAGAGCCATAATTCCCTTGACGGAAGCTGTATCTTTTTTCACATCAATAATCTAAGGAGATCACCTGTACCTAACTTTTGTTAACTGATGGTTAATCTTTACCAGACTCTCACATGGAACTACAGTACAACAGGTGAAATACTACTTATATTACAAGACTTTAATCTGTTATTGGTGGAAGTGTTGGAAGTATTGTTGTTGATATTAGACAGTTTCCAGCTTATTTCTGGAAAATGGAAACCCCTTACAATATCACACTACAGTTACTTGGGATCAGTGTTACTTGACCTGTTCATAGAATCACAGAATGACTGAGGTTGGAAGGGACCTGTGGAGATCATCTAGTCCAACCTCCCTGCTCAAGCAGGGTCCTCTAGAGCACATTGCACAGGATTGCGTCCAGGCACGTTTTGAATATCTCCAGGGAAGGAGACTCCACAACCTCTCTGGGCAACCTGTTCCAGTGCTCAGGCAGCCTCCCAAGAAAGAAGTTTGTCCTCATGTTCAAATGGAACTTCCTGTGTTCCCTTCTCTAATGGATCTTCTAATGGACTGTGAACACTGAAATATATCTTATAATTTAGGGAAGGCTCAAGACCCTGTGCTTCTGAATGGACAGCAACTTTAAATTAGGTAGTGGCATCTCTGAAATGGAGCATGGACCCCTACCCTCTTTTTCATTCATTCTTAGGAAAGTGACACTAAGAATTTTAACATTCATACGTTCATCATCCACTCAGTTGCAAAAATACAATCATACCCAGTCTTTCCTCATACGTTAAATCATCCTAATTAGCTTCTCTCCCAGAGCAAAATCAGGCATGATGATGTTTGAAAGTAAATGATTATAGGAATTACAAAATAAAGGACAGAATAGGTATTGAGCTCAGGGATCACCTTGTTTTGTCCAGCAGATAGTCCACAAACTAGGTAGCAGTTTTTACTGTTTTAGGCATCTGCTAGTATCAGTCTCTTTTTGTTGTTTGACATACCTATCTTAAATCTTTGTATGGCTCTATGGTCATAGACCAGAAGGCAACCTTTTGATTAGTGTAATTTGTTTTCACATAAATTAGTACAATTAGTGGGAATTTGCCTTTGATTCTTATCTAATAGCTCTGTTTGCCCTGTTCTTTGTTGAAACTGCTATGTTTCAGAAGCCTGCCTTTGTTGTGTAGCTGACTCTCTGTCTAAACAATGTTGTAGCAACTTGTCTCATCCTGTCAAGCCTCATTCTCCTGTGATCTGATTCAACTGGAGCTTTTTACCATTGCATAAGCTAGAAGGCTTCATGAATTCCTGATGCTTTGAATCCTTTTGGTGCCCTGACTCAGGTGCCAGAACAGGTGAGGTATTAAGCAACTGTAACCTCAGCTGCCATCAGAATGAGAATATGCTATTCATCCTCTATAGCAGCCTGCCTGCTATCTTCTAGGCCATCTTCTGGCACAGTCTACTCAATGGAAAGTCCTTCTTCTTTAAAGTCTTTCTCCAAAGTTTTCTTTCAACTTTTTTTCCTCACAAAATTAGTTCTAGATCCAATGATGTTGGCTGTTTCCTAGATGAGTAAGTGATCTGAAAGTGATGAGTCCTTTGCCACAGGAGCCAATACACTCTTCTTCCACAACTGGCAAGATTCCAGTTGCTTTCATAGAAGAACTTCCAAAAAGGCCTAATTTTCAGGTTCCCAACCTGCTCCAGGTTCACTCACTTCCATAACCCACTTCGTCACTTCTTCATTTAGAACTTCTTTTGAAAAATCTTCTAGTGTTCCGTTCTAGGAATACTATTTGATTCTGGGATCTTTAGAGAGTGCATTTAAAATTGGAGAAAAAAAAAAGTGTAAAAAAGTCAAAACGGCAATGAAAAGATGTATGAAAATCACTGTTCTGTCTCCAGGAAACTTTTCCTTCTCTGCAGCCATGCTTGAGGGGTAATAGCTGTACTCTTGCCTGTTGCACAGTTACAGTGAGCATTGAAATTATTCTTCCTTTCGTGCATAAAATGTAGCATGCAAGCTTGTTCTCTGGTCCTCTTTGCGCTTTATTCATCTGTGCAATTTCATGTTGCAGAATTAGCTGCTTTTCGTTTACCTCACAGCCATGCACTGTAATGCCAGTTTGGTTTGCGTACCTGTGTTTTGACAGCAAGCTGCATTCAAATCACCCATTTGTTGTTGCTGTTGTTGTTGTTTTTTTTCTTGTTCTTGTTTTTTCTCCCCAGCAGAAATTTGCTGTAAAGTATTCACAGGAAGCTGGCAAATGCTCATTACCAGTTGTAATTGCTCAGACCTTCTCAGAGCATCTTTAAACTTGTCCTTGTTATTTAAGACATTATTTAAATAGTTGCTGCAAGTTAGACTCCTTAGTCTTTAGGTAGGAACTTTTACACTGTTCTTTTGACCTGCTCTCTAGAAGTCCTCAGTATTCAGATTTCTAGGAAAGCAACAGGGAGTGTGTAGGTGATAAGACACTGAAAATCAGGCTATATGATTGCATAAACCTCTTTTTTCATTAGGCTTCAAGTATGCATAAAAAGTAAACCTTAAGAAACAAGAACCTCAAACACTTGAATATATAACATCTAGCTGCTATACATACAACTTCCAGCAGCTCCATGACAGACACTGTGTCAGGCTACATCGGGAATGCAGTTCTAGAGCAAGGGCCTACTGGTCTCATGGTTCTGATGCCAGCTATCAGAATCCAAATCCCAAGGCAAGTGAAAAAGTGGCTCTGTCCATCTGTTTATTCAATTGCA